TTTGTGTTAGCTCATAATAAACACGCTTTACGCTTAAACATACGTAGTGAGCGATAGGAATGCGAGTACACAAGCTGCGGTCGTCGTGCTTACATCAAAATCCCGACGCGAAAGAGGAACGAAGAACTGATCGTATGCAGAATACATCAATCTGGTTATAGACCCAAAACCCGAACGTGTTTTTAACGCCCCAACCCAACAGGCCTATAAATCAGCATCATTGGGCTGGGCCCAATTAATGGACCGCATTTTCTTTTATTAATTTCATTTCAATTTATTTAAGGAGTGGATTATTTCCTCTTTTTTGTAAAACTCTTATTACATGTGATAATACAGATGTGTAAACAATGTGTCCTACCAAAGGTCGTCTACATCTCTAATTTAGTATCATATTAAAAATACCCTTTTATCATAATTGATACCCTTTTAATTGTCTGCATGTTGCAGTCTTTTCTTCTAGTCTTCGGTATACATTAATCAATTTCATCTTCAAAGTTTTTGATTGTGTTGTCGGTATCAGTTGTTGGTTTTGTTCGCTAAGCTATCCAAGTAATCTTTCAAGCAGACATGACATTCATCCGACTCCGAGCTAAGTCTTGTCTTCATAAGCGAGATAATTCTAACATTAACCAAATACAATCGACTTCAACCTATTGTACTAGTTTGGATTGTTTCTATATGTGGGACCGGTTACGAGGAATTGGTTATATAATAAGTTACGCTATTTATTTGAAAATCTGAGACCATAATGATTGGTTACATGTTTTTTATTATTATTAATCAGATCTTATTATAACATTAAAACTCAATATTTTTAATTTTTTATTACCAAAAATTAAAAAAAAAATTAAGCTAATATCTGTCACTCAGAATGAGAAAATTAAAAAATACCACCAATAAATATCTATACTATATTATAAAACATTTGACAAAAATTATTAAAAACCATTTTTTGTATATGAAGTACTGTTTATTGATGCATATTACTTAAAATTTAAGATTACAAGTAAATTGTGCATAAGTACAATTTATTAAAGCTTCATATTTGAATTCATATTACTAACTGCAGATAAACATCAAATATTKGATAAATATCTCATTTTAAATATAAAAATTTAAAATATAATTAAGATAATCATTGATTCTAACAGAATACTTAGTTATTATCTTTATAAAAAAATTATATTATTAAACCTAAATTAAATTTCTTTGTTAGTAAATCTAAATTAAATTATAATTAAAAAAATTGAATGAAGAAAATTACACCAAAATACAATACCTTTTAAAAAGATTAATTTGATATTGATATTGATATATATATTCAAAATTTTATGATATTTTCAAATTTATATTTTATT